CTCAAGAAGGATCTATGTACAGAATTGAAATTGCATATGTGCCCATAGCGGTGCCAGATATACGCATCCCGAACACAAAGTGTGAGATAAAATTTCCCCTGATACACCTGGGAGGGGCCACATGCCTCGATGCATCACATTTACCACTAGGTCCACGTGTTGGCCATCCGCTAGATCCACGTCCGCACTAGTGGGCCACTCACCGACACCCGATCAACCTTTCATGCGCATATACCAACGTCTGCAAGCAAAGGTAGATGCCCTGCCGCTGCCGCAAGGTCTTTGCCTGATGACTGTGAGGAGGGGGAGGTGTTGAGGAGTGTCGGCGGGGAGGGTTGGCACTCCCAGGTCGTTGTAGGTTTGAACCATCTGCCTGCTACGGCAAACTCTAGCCTTGTCGGCAATGTGTGTTTTCCATCCTCCTCGGTTCTACGACCATTGATTGAACTTCCATATTTCTTCTATTTTACTAGGCCCGTCTATCATTGTCATCTCCGGCGATGTCTATTTCTTGACACTAGTGTCATTATTGTGTAAATCTTGCTATTGCAAATCTAGTCATGGAAGAGTGCAACAACAAGCGAGGAACCATAGAGAAAATTGGAGAAGCGACAAGGAGGGCGGTGCTGGTGGAGGCATATGGAAAAATGACTTGTCTCCTTTCCCAAACCAATCAGCAGATCTGTAGCTATTCTTAAGAATATACTGATTTTAGCATGATAAACATACACAAATGCTTGTCCACTAAAAAATTCAAAAACAAAGTTATACACATACCAAAACAACAAAGCTTAACATCTCAAATTGTTGGAACATACAAACATGCCACATACATACATACATACATGCATGCATGCATGCATGCATGCATACATACATACATACATACATACATAATGCGGCCGACCCCTTAACACTTGGTCTACTTAAGAATTTGCTACATTTTCCATTGACGAGTAAGGCATTTTATTTATTTATTTCTTATTTCACACCACTAGTTATACGAAATACACACTAGATGAGCATTTGCAGCAACCTTATAGATAGACCTCGATGACACCTCGATGGCCAAGTTTCTTGACAATCTTATAGTCACTAAACCCTGCTTTCATAAAGATCGTGCTCCATTCCTTTTCATCCTGTTGCCATCCTCTGGTACATATGAACATCAGCATGTCCATCAAGAGAAGATCCAAGCACTATTTCTATGATGATCACTTTTCCCCCCATTTCTCGGGAAGGTATGGCCTTCTTGCATTGAGCAAGGATTTTGATGCAATCCTCATCGCTCCAGAAGTGTAGAACAAGCTAGAATGGAAAGAATCTATGTGGTTTAAGCAATGGATAACGAGGGACGCGGAAGTTATCGACATAATGTAATTATGCATAGGTATTGGTAGTCCTGCAGATAACCAATACCGAAACATGAAAAAATTGGTGCAATCCAAACTCTTAGTTCCCTTTGTCCTATGTGGTATGTTGTATGGAAGAGCAATTCTAACATGCTCCCACTTACCTCCTTAGAGGCAAGAAGAGTATTAATTACGTTGGCAAAGGGTAAGTTTGTGTATAAAAATTCTCCAATTATAGCAACTTGTTGGTTGTTTGTTAGAAAAAGGAAGTCTCCAATGAACTAAATTACCATTTTCCTCTTCACTTGGTTACTACCATATGCATCCATAACACATAATTTCAAATTGCACGAATTTCAAGTCATGTGTATTTTTACTTTTGGTTCATGTGTTATTAATCTAAATATTTATATTCCACACATCAAATCTCATAAAATATATTGCAACTGATTGCCGCAACTCTAATTGGTCCATAATGTAAAGTCTATATTGTTTTCACCGCCTTCATTCCATAATGTAGTGCCTATAGATTTTTTCAAAGTCAAAGTTTGCAAATTTTGACCAAGTTAATAGATGAAAATGTCTATATTATATATATATCATTAGACACGTCATGGGGTACCCCGCAAATAAAAGATATGTCATGAGATATATTTTTATATTATAGGTATGTGTTTGGTATTGTAGATATAGATAACATTTTCTGGAAATTGGTCAAATTTTGCTAAGTTTGACTTCTGAAAAAAAAATCTTGTGTACCTATTAACAGGCAGTTGGAACACGAAGCTAAGCTCACAAGAGCACTTTCGGAATTGGACATGGAGTATATAAGCTCGAGCTCGCATGCACCCTTGCTACAGTAAAATAGAAAAAATATTTCAAAATTAAAAAAAAGGTGAATTTTTTTGGCAACAAACATTGGTGTGTGTTTCACATGCGTGCCAATTTTCGTGATCAAATGACATTTGTGGAGGCCTCGGCAAAATAGACAATATCATGCTCAAAAAAAAACTGTTTTTGGAATCATTTTGGAGCATCGATTTTGTATATTTTTTTACCGAGACCTGCATGAATGTCATTTTGTCAGAAAATTTTGCACACATGTGAAAAAGACATCGATGTTTGTTGTCAAAAAAATTCAGAATTTTTTGAACATTTTAAATATTTTTTGATTTTACTGTAGCAAAGGGTGCATGTGAGCTCGAGCTCACAAGAGCACTTTGGAAATTAACGGACCATATTAGTTTGGTTATATCACAAAATTCCTCTGTATATCCATGCCAAAAAAAAATTAGAACATTAAATGTAGAGAGGGGTCATATCTTCGTACCTTGAGCATCACGGCTTGAGCTGGTGGGACGGTATGGAAGAGGTCGCCAGCGACATAGTTAAGAACACCGTCACTCGGACTTTCTGGATCACCTGTGGAAGGTCCAACACATTGCACTTGATATGCGGGAAGGCCTTGACGATGGCCCTTGCCATCGTCCCATCACCACCACAGCAGTCGGTGAGTGACTACAGGCCATTGAACAGGCCACCGCATTCCCGTACAACCGTGCCGATCCCCATATGGTCATGGGCATCCAGCCCTCGCGTCGCTCCCTCCCTGGGGCGATACGAGCGGCGGCTCAGCCCCGTCCACCGCGCGCCCTCCTTCCACACACTCCCCTCGCCGTCGCCGGTGGGCTCCGCCGGGCGAAGCCCGCGCGGATCCGGCGGCGGCGGGGCCTCTTCTCCCCGTCGTTTCCTGGGCGCTCGCGAGGGGGAGCTCGCGGCGGCGGGCGGCGGATGGCGGCCGGCGCGCGGAGCTCCGCGTAGGCTGCGGGCGGAGGGAGGGGTGCTGGGGCGGCGGCTTCGGTCCGAGCTCCTGGCGCGGCCTGGGCGTGGACGGCGTGCGCAGGCGGCGTGCGTGTGCGCGGCGACTTCGGATGCGCGCGTGGGGCGCGGACCGGCGGCG